AATTGAAGGTAATGTTCGACACTTTCTTAATTACTGGTTCATTTTGAAAACTTACATTGAATTATTTCTTATGTAGTTGAAAATGGTTGAACACACAAGACTAGAGGACGTACAACGTTGAAGGAATTATACCAACTTCCTCCTGGGAACCGTGTGAAAGTTTCAAGAAACGATGTCGGTCAACCTATTGGCCCAGAAGCATGTCTTCTATCTAGTTACTTAGGCATGGTTGCACATAATGCTAATCTTTTACGAATTAATTATGAGTCATGGTGTGAAATGCCAAATAGTAACAAAAATCAGCTTTAGATTTTGTTAAGGTGATAATGTCATTATAATAGATAATCCATAACAGTTCAATGGTAATTTATATTTATTTTGAACACTTGTGTTGTTTGTAGGAGAAATTTTCTTTAGAAGTCTCAGAATATTATTTGAAGAGAGCGTTAGGGAAGAAATAGAGAGATCACAAGAGTTCTTTAAAAGAGAAATACTTTAAGAATGATCTCAGCCTTAAAGAGAAGCTGCAAACTGTCCCACCTGGAATGCTTAGGTATCAATGGGAAGATGCAGTCAGATTTTGGAATTCAAAGAAAGGAAATGTATGATGTATTTTACAAAAAACAATATAATGTCATTATAATATTGACTTTATAAATACAAATTTAAAATTGTAGGACTGAGAGCATGTTGAAGTTGCTAGCAGACAACAACAAAAGTTTACTCACACAGTTTGATCGAAGAGCTTTGCTTGTAAAGCTAATGATGAGCTATTATTGATTATTCACATAGTGATTTACAGTTGGTAGCACATAGTAACGAAATTTATTTATATTATTAATTAATTTTTTTGCAAGACTTAATTTTTATTCTACATTGTAAGAAAATACGTCTGGTTGTAAAGTTGGACGAATAAAGCTCTTCGACATGACACATACAAAAAAGGATGACACTCCTATGACTGATGAAGTTGAAAAAATTATGGTGTATTTATTGGACACATTATTTGAATTATGTTATATTTATATCTATAGTATGACATTTTTATTTAAAATAATTATTGAATTGATTATTAAGAAAAAATTGAGGGATAAAAGGGCGGAGTATGAAGCTACGACTTCAAGTCATGGTATTGTTAATGCGGATGACATCGAAAATCAAGTTATTAATGAAGTTTTGGGTCCTAAAAGATATGATCAGGTTCACTGTCAAGGATCATTGGTTACTCCAGCCAAATATTTTTTAATCAAATTCATCTCAGTACATGTCATCATAGAGTCAGTCTTCCCAATTAGAAGTTAGTCGTTTAAAACAACAGTTGGCTGAAATGGATCAAAAAGTTGCTCAAATGAAAGCCGAAACTAAAGCGAAGGAAGCAGAGAGAGAAACAACATATCATAAAAAATGTGAAGTCTTTGAAAATCGACTTCAAGCTATGATGTAGATGATACGACAAAATTAACCCAGAGTCTACCATCTTGGGTGTTATTTTAGATATATGCTTTGTGTATTCTAGTTAACAATGTTGAACTACATTATATTTTACGTTAATGTAAACTTTGATTATTATTATGGATTTCAAGTTGGTTGTTATGGATTTCAAGTTTGTTGTTATGGATGTCAAGTTTATTGGATAATGCTACAGGTTAAAAATTTAAATTTGGGTAACAAAAAAGCAAAAAACAACATATGAAAATCAATTTTAATTAGCGGCGTTTGTATAAAAAACGCACTAAATACAAACTCAATATCGACGTTTTAGAAAAAAAATGCCACTACAGTTCTAGATCTTTTGCGGCGTTTATACAGAAAATGCCACTATATCCATAGTCAATAGCGGCGTTTTACATTCACAAACTCTGCTATATGTCATTACCTTTACCGGCATTTTTTGAAACAAACGCCACTATATGTCAGAACATTTAGCGGAGTTTTTTTACAAATGCCACAAAAGAAAAGATATGTAGCGTCGTTTGTAGAAAAACACCACTAAATAACATAACTTTTAGTGGCGTTTTTCGTCCACAAACACTGCTACCTTTTGCGGCGTTGGATTTAGCAACACTTTTTGCGGTGTTTTTTGTTTTGCCACAGGGTTTTTAACGGCGCTTAAAAATGCCGCTATATGACTAAAAAACACTGCCAAAAACCTGTTTTGCTTTTGTGGATGTTTGGTTCTCAGAAAAGATCATTACCAAAGGGAATAATCTATTCGAGAATTGTATTCCCATATTCGGTTCACGAAGAATATCATTATCAAGTAATAACTTATGAGCAATAGTAGCAATTTTTGGTTAAATGGTGGGAATGTAATTAACTCCAAATTCTTAGGCAGTATACGATTCCCACCACTTTATATAAGAATGCCCCTAGAATAATGAGTATTTTTGTAACGACCCAATTTTTCTAAGTTAACATTTGAGTGTTGACCTAATAATTTATTAAATAAATTTATTAAAGATAAAAAAGAAAATTTTTAAGCTTGGGGTGAAAAGAGAAGATCCATGAGTGTGGTTTTTCTATTTGAGAAAAACATGGTAAATTTGAATAGATTTTTTGTTGACTTAGACATCCATTTTAAGTTAAAATAAAAAAAATACTTTTTTCCTCTCATTTATTCACTCTCTTTCTTTTTTCATCTTCTTTCTCTCTATTTGATCTTCGTTTTCATATTTTCTTAAGAAAAACAAAAGCTAAAAATTTCATCTTTCTCCTTCATCAACACTCCATAAAAAAAATCCTAGGTATGATACATGATCCCTAAATCACAAGCTCTAAGATGAGTTCTCATGAGCACATTTGGAGGTTTTAGAGGGTTTGAGCTTAAAAGGTTTTCTCCCATGATTTTCATATGATTTTGTTATAGTTTAATTATTGTTTAACAAATCACATTCTTCATTTTTATGTTAGAATTATTTTGTGACTTTTGATTGGAAGAAAAGTGATGCAAAAACTCACAAAGAGCAAAGTTAAGGAAATGTTGGTTCTTGATGAAATAGAGAGGTTTTGGAATTTCTAGGAGCTGAGTAACACACTTTAACTCTTCATTACTATTTGTAGTGCATAACATTTAGCATGGCTTGCTTGTATGGGGTGGAAAAACATGTGGGCTCGGTGATTGATTTTTTTGTTAATCCCTAATAACTTTCATAAGCTTTAATAATCAATTTAGGCCTTAAAATAAGTGTTTAGGGTGAGTTTGGGAGTATTTTCCGAGTAAAATAATGTATTTCTAGGTTGTAGTACTAATACTACATAGGATAGTATCAATACTACTCTTTTAAAAAATACGGAGGGTGATTTTTGGACCATTTCGAAGTTAAATTCGGTACTACTGAAAGAGTATCAATACTACATGTAAGAGTATTTTGGAGAAGTTTTGGTACTATTTTTGGTACCGATACTTGGTGCGAATATTAATACCCTAGATCTAGGTTTTGATATGCATAAAGGTATTGACACTATCAATGATGATTATTTAGTGGATTTCAAGATGCCAAATAGACCCGAAAGTGAGGGATTTAATAGGGTTGAGTTCGAGCATTTAACTTTGCTGTAAGAAATTACGAAAATACCCTTAAATGACAGAATTTATTGAATTGCTTTTATGGGCCTAAATAAATGAAATAATTTATGTGGGTAAGAGTTTGAATTGTAAAGTGATTGAATAATGATATGAGATTCAAGTGAAGAGTCTAAAAACGTTATAATTGACTAATAACTAGAAGATTAATGATATTTAGATAATAACGTAAATGACTAATAACGAGACAATTAATGATGTGTGATGATACCTTTAGCCCTATAGCGAGAGTTTGCTAATGAAGAGTAAAAAACAACATGATTTATATGATATTGAGATTAGACCTAATATATATTGGACGGACCTCTAAGGACTCTAAAGACTATATTTGAGTCTGTAACCGTGTGTACGGAGGACTATAGCCTAAAAGAATACTCTCTATGGGAAAAACTCTTCGGATTGGATGTCAAAAGACGGAAAAGTGGACCAAATTTGCAGAGGGAAGTGAGAATGTTTTCCGTAGATGAAAGAGAGGAAGCTTATATGAAAAAACTGTTTTGAAAGAGATAGCTGAAGAAGACGACAGAGCTGGGTGGTTAAGGCAAAGTTTTGAAACCACAAAGGCTTTAAGTGATGGAAAGGGCAAGAGAATTATAGGGTTTATTTTGTGATTGAGTGAGAAAACTCCCATTAGTTCATGATTTTTTTTTATACGAGGTTGATTCTCAGTTCCTTTCATATCAACAGCCTGTCATTATGATTTTCCCTCTTTTATTTATTTACTTTGCCTTCAAAATGATGGTGATTTAGCACCATAGTTTGTAATCCAAAATTGGTTTCCAGATTACATCCGAATTGGTAAAGGGTCCAAAACTAGAGTAATAACAAAGAAAAGTTCATGATCTGTCCGTGAATCTCAAAGAAAATCATGGATTACTCTCAACCATGTAATCCAATATAGTGATTGTGATTGTAATTGTAATTGTCATCCCGTTTATGTTTATGCTTGTAATTGTAATTGTATTGTTTGATTTTGACTAAAGTTGTACCATTGTATTGACTATATTGTTTGATTTTAATTATAATTGTGCATAAACACATCGAGTGATCTCATGATTAAAGTGTTGTTCTCCCTATAGGCGTCGAGTTAATTATTTGGACTGACTAATATTAAAATAGAATGACTAAACTCTAATTTAAACGTAATGGAGAAACCAAAACCAAATTTTGACCACAAATGACCCAACATAGAATGAAAGTCGGAGTTGGTATATTGACGAGGTTTAGCCTTTGGAAGACGAGACGTCAAACTAATTTATCACAGTTGTCTTCTATTACTAATGGATGGTTTGGGGCATTGAGAGACTGTTCCACTCTGCTGCTTTTTCTCTCCCTTTGGACAAAGTTGATAACATCCTTCTTCTACTTATTCTCAGTAAACACACACAGTGAAAAGAGGAGGAATAATCGCAAAAAATACAATATGCAGGAATATCTTTATCATGAAAAGCAACAAAAACAGTAACATAATTTGTTCAGTATGCATAAAATAGCACAAACGTACTGATTCAAGTTCTTGTAGAGTTTGACAAAAGTTACACGAGTAATACAAAGCAAAAGTAAAACCAAAGAGACTGAATAAAGATATTCAACATTTTTTCTCAGAAGATACTATCGGAATAACCTACCCGTATCATGTAACTTCGCAACAAGTGAACGATGAGCCCATCCATCGTCCATAGGTCATGAGATCCTCAGCAGTGTGTTGTATTCCTATCACTCAGAGCCATCAGGGTACGGATCCAATGCGTCTTGCTTTCCATTAACGTAGAACTCTACCACTGCTTTCATTCTTCGAAGTTTATCTGGGTGGTAATTTACATGGACAATTACAGGCTTTAACTTCTTCAGTTTCGCATCTTTCCTTACCGTCTTAAAGAGGACTTTGCTATTCATGAACATGTAGAAATCCATAGTTCTCTTGGCAGCATGAAGCCCATCGTATCCAGGATGTGATGGAAAAAAAAGTTCCTCGTTAAAAACAGCTTGGTCCCATGCGTTTGATTGCCGAGCTAGCCTATCAGCCACACGGTCTAAAAGCTCAATTGAAGGGATTGTAGGCCTTATAAAAAAGAAACCAGAGTTATAAACCCATATTCTCATTGTATGAGCATAACGTGCCCAACCCATAGCAGGTTCATCAAAGACATCATTATATCCGTAAGCTGTCATGTTATTGTGACCATCAGTCATGGACTCTATATCAGAATCCCGATAAAGATGGTTGAACGGATTTTGTAAGTATATTATATCAACATCTGATAGAAGGACGCTATAACCCAATTGCAAAAACTCCCTTAAGATGTGGAACTTCAACCCAGAGACAGCATGATTGCCTCCTGTTCTCCCAACGGCATCAATACCCGCATCCGGATCCCTCTTGTACACTGGGACATCATTTGATTTGCAGAATTCTTCAATATTGTCATCTAAAGCTATAACTAGGTAATTCAGCATACCAACTCTCTTGATGCTAGAAACCTGAACCTCCAACATCTCTTTCACATTTGAATTGGCAAGCACAACTATAACCTCTTTCTGAACAGCAACTTTCTCCAAGATCGCAGCCAATCTTGGGTTCACAGATTCATCAGCGACAACAGTCGGGTTAGTCCGCAGAGCTTTGACAGTACCAAAAGGTCCAGCTTTATGCTGCTCACCCAAAACCAGAAACTGCTTTTGTGCATTATCTTTTCCTTGTTCGGCCAGTTGCAGCTTCTCCTTCAAATCCCTGACCTGCTTCTTTAATTCGGAATTCTTCTCTGATAGTGATACGACTTCAGACTTCAGCATCTTACTCCGCTCCGAGGATTCACACGACAAAGAACCAATCTAAAAGCCAGCAAAAGAAAAGCAGAACCATACCCATCAAACAAATATTAAGCTCATTGTAATAAGAAAGTTCACAGTCCTTTACAAATCATTATTAAGCTCATTCAAGGCAAAACGTCAAACAAAAAACAGAAGGATACCGCCTAAAGGGTACCGTTACAAATGGAAATGGAAGGCAGCAATTGCAAGTAAACCTCTAAAATCTGGGTGACAAAATCATCCTTCAAAGCTACTCTGTTTAATGAATTTATCACTACTTTGTTCTATGTTTAGAACTAGAGATAATTCCAATGCTGCTACACCAGAGCAGGATAAAATAGTTTTAGTTAGTTCCAAGAAAATTTACTACAATGAGAGATCAAATTAATTCAAATCATTTGGGGTTTCCTTGAACACCCAGATCTTAAAACAAAAGAAAGAGTCGACACAGCTAAGAACATTCATTAATCCCGAAGTCAACTCAACCCCATTCAGATTTTGAATTAAAAAAGAAAACATTAACCATGGATTGTTTCACGAAGATGAGAAAAAAAATCAAAACTTGATCGAGGGTTTATCAGAGGTTAACCTGGAACTTGATTTGCCAATTCGACGGTTTTGAACGGAGGCAGTGGGATTGATGAGGCCGTGAGGGAAAAATAAAGCGATGAAACAGCCGAGAAGAACTCCGATCACAATGGCTATGGCGATTCGAGATCCGCGAAACGACTGCGCTTTGTCCCTACGACCCGCCATATCCTCAGTGCACGCTGAACAGAGCGTCAGAGAGTGAGAGAGATGAAGTAATAAGAATGACGTTGCTTATTCTATTGCATCAACAAACAGATTATTTGACAGATTCAAGTTTGTATTTTATGGCTTCTTTTTTCCGTTTACCTCTTATTTAGAGACCGATACAGAGAGCTTAGTCATCGCTGATAAGTTTTTTTTTTCATAAAGAAGTAAAAAACATTGAGGAGGTTATATTTGGTGCTTCGCCAACATTGTAACCATTGAGAAAGATGGAATCAGACCCTTGATCTAGGTAAAAGGAAATGATCCGACGTTATTTAAGATTCATTGACTTTCCTATTGTATTGGCGTGCCCAGAGGAATTGGATTATCTAGATCCAAAATTCCAATATAATTACATCTTGCACTTGTAGTTTTTAACCAAAAATCACTCAAATTATATAATATTATCAAATTATATAATATTACATGTCAAATATCGTTTCTCTAAATGTTACCGATCTAGCACTCTTTCTGATAGAGTGATAATAAAGCGCGTTTCAAGATACGCGTCTTGCAGACGTGGAAGAAAGATGCGTTACAAGATGAGCGCCTTCCTAGGGTTCTATCCGAGCTGACGCCACGATGGAAATGAACGGTTCATGAGGTGCGCCTTCGTGGGAAATTCTGACACGTGGAGAAGGTGCGGTTCACGCATTCTACTTAAATTTCACCTACCACCCTTAAATATTGCCTAATCGCTTTTCCCCCTCCCCTATAAATACCCCTCATACAACACTCAAACCACACAAAAATACTTTTTTCTTCATTTTATCAATCCTTGTATCAAGCTTTAAGAAGGCTTTTTTCGTTTTTAGAAGCTAAATTTTTTTTATATATTTAATCATTTAATAGTTTATTATTTTTATATTTTATTGTACTAATTTTTTTATTACTTTTTGTATTTATAAAATGAAAGGCGGATTGATGTGTTTAGATAGAAATATATCTCGAGTCATTTTACCGATACGGTAACAATTTTAAATTGTGTTACTTTAATTATTGTGAATGTTTATTTATTATTTATTTATTATTTAGTATTAGTTTATATTTTAATTTGTATATATTTATTTAATTAGGAGAATGACTGTATTAGATTCATTTATTCGTAACGCTAAGTTAGAGATATCGAGTTATGTCTGGCCGTATTTAGTCGAGGTTGGATTCGGTTACATAGCGAAATATGAAGGGCACTGTAACCTTGAACCTAACCTTATTTCTGCTCTAATTGAGAGGTGGAGACTAGAGACACATATTCCATCTTTCGTGTGGGGAGTGCACTATTACGTTGGAGGATGTTTCATGCATTTGGGGCTTTCGGTAGATGGGGATGTTATTTCTGGTGTGGCTGATGGTGATTGGAATTCATTGTGTGAGTATCTTAGAGGTATCCCGCCTAATTTAACGGTGGTTGAATATCGTTATCATGGTTGGCTACAAATTTTTAACATTTGAGTGAAGATTGTTGTCGCGTCTGTCTTTCATGTAGGCCCAGAATTGGGCTTTGACTTGAAATAATGGGTTAGAGTCGTCACCGATCGTTTTAAAAAATTTAGGTAGATCGGACATCATCTTACTTGATATGCGTTTTACCAGAAATGTATCGGGTTCGGGAGAGTCGGTTAAAGTCAAGGAAGAATTAGCACCCTTGTATTGCCCTTTTGGTAACAATTAATTTTTCGGTTGTCTTAATTGCAAAAATTAACAATTTAAATTAAGTTTTTTTAAATAAAACCCCCGATTCAAATTGCTTATCTTTGATTGGTTAGAATTTCTCTAAAAAGTTAAAAATGTTAAATAAAAAATAAAAATAAAAATAAAAATAAAAATAAAATAAATAAAAATAAAAATAAATAAAAAACAAAAACAAAAAATAATAAAAAATAAACTAAGCAAATCAAAGGAAAAATGAAATAAATAATAATAAATAAAAATATTAAATAAATCAAAGAAAAAAAGGAAAATTATAAAAGTAACGAAGAAAATAGGAAGTAAAAAAACATAAAACAAAAAATAATTTTAAAATAAAAAAATTAAAAATGCTAAAAAAAGAAAAAATGAATAAACTAAAAATTTAAAGGACCAAATTGAAATAAATTAAAATTGATGGGCTAAATTAGTACTAAATATGAGCTACAAGAGAAAAATAAAAAGTTAAGGGTTAAATTAAAAAATATAAATAGTATAAATAGGGATTAAATTGAATAAATTGAAAATTCGGAAGCTAAATTACAAACGGTGACCGAATTGAAATGCACTTCAAACTTACAGGGACTGTAGAAAGGATTTAAAAATCCTCTATTTACACAGTAGTCCTCAGTATTTAAATACCCAAAACACTCATTTCCCATTCATTTTTACCATTTCCTCACAAAAGCCTTCTCCCCTAATTGAGAGAAGCTCTCAACCTCTCTCCCTTCCCCGATGACCGATCAAGGCCCGGCCACCACTACGGTGGAGAACCACCATCCGCAGCGATGGCCGAAAAATACCAAATCTTAAAAAAATGTCCCCTCGAGCCCGTGAACCCAAAACCAACTGCCAAATCTCCAAAATCAACCCCAGTAATCGTAGATCTAAAAAAAACCTCGGTCCTCACTTTTTCCGATGAAACCCTTCGACTTTCGGTGACTGGCTCTCGATTCCGATGAGTCTTTGTTTCCCCGTGTTCTTCCCTGAAACAAAGTTCTAAACTTTTTTACCTTCACTTTCGGATTCCAAAGTCTCCGCCTTTTGGGTTCTTATCGAATGCTTTTTATTATTTACTGCTGATATTAGGATTGATTTGTTGTGGTTCTCTGATATGTGTATGATGTTTGTGTGTTATGTTTGTGATGGTTTCCCGATCTGTGCTTTTGATTTCTTGGTTCGATGTTTTCCCCATTGGTATTTATATAGCCCCCAACGGGGCTATTTCGATGGCCACGAGACCGTTCCTAGTTATTTCGGACCGTTCGACTGTTCGTGTGACCGGTCATCCCGGGATGGGTCAGTCCCGGGTTCTTCGGCTGGACGTTTCGGTGTTAACTGGCGCGTGGCTTCACGCGTGATCCCTTACGGCACAATGCTAAGTGTAAAAACCCTAAGTTGGCATTTAAGGGGCTGGGTCAGACCCAAACCTGATTCGGTATCTATTGGACCCGCACATTAGACCCTAATTTTAGACCTTAAACAAAAAAATAAAATTAAAATAAAATAAAAAATAAGTAATAAAAAATAAATAAAAAATAAAAAATAAAAAACACAAAATCATTTTTATAACTACATATTATATATGTTTTAAAAATTATTTTCAAACCATAATATATATTTTCAAAATAATTTTTAAAAAACTAAATAATATATATTTTCAAAATATTTTTTTAAAAAACTATATATATATATTTTCAAAAATATTTTAAAAATTATATAATATATATATTTTCAAAATGTTTTTAAAAAACTATATAATATATATATTTTCAAAAATATTTTAAAAACTATATTATTATAAGTTTTCCAAAATGTTTTAAAAACTATATAATATATTTTAAAATTTAAAAAAAATATAGATATATATAAGTTTTCAAAAATGTTTTAAAAACTATATTATATATATATTCAAAGTGTTTTAAAAACTATATATTATATATAAGTTTTCAAAAATGTTTTAAAAACTATATATTATATATATATTTTCAAAATGTTTTAAAAACTATATATTATATATAAGCTTTCAAAAATGTTTTAAAAATTATATATTATATATATTTTTCCAAAATGTTTTAAAAACTATATATATTATATAAGTTTTCAAAATAATTTCAAAACTATATAATATATACATTTTCAAAAATCGTTTTCTAAAATAATTTTTTCGAAAATTATACTATATATATAAAATAATAAAATAAAAAAATACGGACAAAAATAAGTGTCTACAATTGTTCTGAGGAACATGATAAAATATTTGCCCGTGCTTGCATATTACAACTCATATGAGGGATATTAATGTCCGATAAATCTCGCAATCAAATTCATTGTATGTGGTTGCGTCACCTCGAATATTTTCGAGTTGTCGGCTCACTCAGTTGGTGCTCCGTAGTTTTGGCATCTTTGTATAGAGAAATGTGTCGAACAACTGATTATCAGAAAAATGCTATCGGTGGATGTCTCATTCTTCTCCAGTCATAGGTATGGTATCGCATACCCTTTTTATGTCCGGTAGTGAATAACTCTTCCGTTACTGTTGAGGTAATTTCAATACTAAGTTCGCATATAAATAATTTTTTTGAGTATATAATGAAATATTTTTTTACATTGAATAGGTGGTCATGTACAAGGAAAAATCATCGTGATATACCAGACGAATTGGAAGATATTCAGCTACTCATTAATCAAAAGGCTGGTATAGAGGTATAAATTTAAATTTTATTATTTACCTTTAATTATCGTTATATAATTAGAATATTATTTTGATAAGAATTATTATATTTGTTTTAGTTTCAATGGACTCCTTATTCTACTGAATAAATAAGCTTTTGCATCCCACCTCACTTGAGTGGCTCATTAGATGTATGGGTGGCAGTGGTCCCTTTGACATGTTATGTTATTATCGAGTGGCATCCTACTAATCATGTGTTATGTCAATTTGGTTGCATACAATATATTCCTAAAGTACCTAGGAATCTCGACAATATGCATAATGTCAATAGATGGGGCAAAAAAGATGTCAACTGGCTTATGAAGCACAGCAAGTGGATAATGATCTGAGAGAATCGACGTGGACATATTCCCCTTAGAGAGTCGATTTATGTGGATCATTATTCGGTTACGGCTGACTATTATCAGTGGTTTAACACGAACGTAAAGCTATTCCTACTTTTTGAGGAAGTACGAGGTGGGAGCATTCATCGACGTCGAAGAAAAACATCCACCATCATGATATCACTGTTCCTCGACTCGTGGATGGAGAGTAGGCGTTTTCGACTCGTCCTTAGCTGCAGCACCGGAACCATCACATCAGCCACCATCTACACCGATTTTCATTTTCAGCCCGCCACTATACATGGGTACACTGTCAGTTTAGATGGCACTATAACTGTTTCAAATGTCACCGTAGTTAGTTC